CATTTTAAAATCTTTCCAATTCCATTACTGTTATCTTCCATTCTCAAATTAATTTTTTTAAGTAAGAATTTTGCTTTCAACTCTTTTTCTCTGATTTTCAACTTCACTTAAAAAAAGTAATTCTAAAGTTTGATGGAACTTGTGTTACATATACCAGCAAAGTTTTTCAGCTAACTACATACAAAAAGTGTGAGAAGACAGTGTGTTAGAAAGGTCAGTATAAATGAATGCTATGAGAGGTATTTGGGGACACTTATCTTAGATAAATTTTAATTCTTTTCCTTTTAAATGGACTCTATCATGATAAGCTTTCAAGTAACTTTAGCAAGTTGAAAATATTTGGAGATAAGCTATATTTATAGTGTAGCTCCTAACTGCAAAGATTGCTGTGAACTCTTATTTATGAGCTGAATAGTGTTATCTAGCCACAAAGTGCTCATATTTATTTTCAGATCTACTAGTGGATGAATGTTGACTGTCTAGTAATTAGTTCCATTTCCACCATCTCCAAAGCATACAAAACAACTGGACTTTTTGTAAACTAACAGCTTAAAAGATTCTTCATTGGAGGAAGGTAATTCAGATTCCTTGAAAGTAATCTCTCCTCTATCTGTTGTTTGGTTTGTTTTCTTTCTTTCTTGTGGAGGAGGGTGAGATAGAAATTATGAAAATGGTCAAGGCTGCACAGGGCTCTGAGGAACCTGACCTAGCTGAAGATGTTTCTGCTCATTGGAGGGAGGTGGACTAGATGACCTTGAAAGGTTCTAACTATTTTATGAATAACAGTCGTACAAGGCAGCTTTGGAAATCCCTGAACTCAACTTCTAGCCTTCACCATGAAGACCTGGGTACAGGACTTTTGAGCCTCTGGATAGAGACCAAGGTATCACCTGGCCAACTTTAATGACTGTCGAGTTCTGTCAATCACCCTGTACTTTTCTAAGTGTGCTAAGAACATTTTGTGTTATCACTTTTCAGAAAACTTGTCTTCCCTGTGCTTACATCCTTACCTGCTTCAGAGTGTTTGCCTTGTACTCACAGGCAAACAGACTGTTCTCATGTTTGCTAAAGTAAAACAGAAGTGATATTCTTCAGAGACCATGAAAGTTTGACTGGGCTAAAGAAGGTCTGGCTTTGTGAGACCTTCCATTTCAATCTTCTGTCTGACATTGGGCAAAATATAATCTTACAATCCAGTTCTTGACTTATAAAACCAAGCAGTGATATTTGTTGTCCTTTGATTAGCTTGTCTGTTCAGCTCTGCCAGGAAAGTATCAAAATACTGTTAGCACACTGTACAGCCTACTAAAATCTCACATTTGGTTGGAGCTTACTGTCATATGTACTTATGTTAAATAAGTCAGACCAACCCCCACGCTATTTCTTGTGAGATGGGGACATGTATACAAAAGATGGCTTGCCAGCTTCCTCCCTCAACTTAGACACAGCTGATCAGTGCCTTCCCCAATCCAGTTTATGCAGCATTTTAAGTCCAGGAAGACAGGCAAGCATGATGGGTGGCCTTCAGACTAACCGACTGAATCCAGCTCTCAACTCTTACCCTGTAAGAAAGGGTTTAGACAGAATGTAACAGGAGTTAATTTAAGCTGTTCCAAGAGTAAATGAATGCTGGCACTAAGCCTAATGCTCTTGAGGGGATTGGAGTTCTAGTAGAGAGTGAATCCCTCTTGGAACTTGGCCTAACACTCTTAAAAGACACTGAGATGTGGAAGTGGACCTTCAGGCATGAGGAGATGTATGTTTACTTGGCTTTTTTTTTTTTAACTTTGTAACAAAACTTAAAAGGAATAAGTTTCTGCCAAACATGATTTCCTAAGAATGACAGGACTCACAAGGGTTTTGTTTCATGGTGGTATGTTTTTTGTCTTTTGATGTGACTTTACATTATATTCATTGTGCCTAATGAAAGACTAAGAAAAGACTGCATTTAAGCATTGTTACGTAACTATTCAGTGGGACATTGAATCTTAAAGAAAAATTACATTTTAAACATTTCAGAAAACATTTTATTAGTATTTTCATTTGCTTTTTCAAATTTTCAGGAATGCAAACACCTCTTGTAAAAAGTGTGATGTCACCACACAGAAAGCATTTTATAAAAAAGCAGGTAGGACATCTTGCTAAATGTAATGATTTCTGCTTATAAGAGCATGGAAGAGCAAACTGAGCAGGACAGCAAAGGGAGGTAACACTTTGGTGCTGCAGCATGCAGTAGCTGATGACATTTGTCACCACATAACTCATTTTGTCTGGTGAAACCTTTATTATATTTACCAGACTGTCAGCATCAGACCACAGAGATCTTTGCTTTCTGTCATAAACCACCCTGCAGTGATACTGCATGGGGTGCAACAGGAACTCTGTGTGACTCACCAGGAGCTCTCTAGCTGTTTAAGGCATGTGTTCTCACAGCACTCACAACTGCAGCAGCACAGCTGTGAGCAGCACGAGTGGCAGCTCCGTATTCTGGGAGCCTGGGCCCACGAGGTGAATTCACTGCAGGAGACAAGGGGTGGCTGAGGACACTGAACTCGCCCATCAGCATTGCGTGCTCTCAGCCACATGAGGACAGCTCTCCATTCACACTGCAGCTGCATCTGTTCCAGGCAGGAATGCCATCTGAGGAAAGACAAATGACCTACTTATTTGTTTTTACTTGAAGAAAAACTGAAAATGCCTGTCAGAACAATGAATTATACCTCCTTGCCTGTGCTGTGGTTGTGTATTCAACATCAAGGGATCTGACATTCAGAAATCAAATCTCTCAGCCATCCTTTACAAGATGCTTCTAAGATGTTGCCAGCACTCATGAAGTGCTCACTATTGGCTTACACAGAAAGTAAAGTCCTTTCAAGGTGTTTGTAAAAATACTATGTGTCAAACTGTAAGATTAGGATGGGAAATATTTTGTCTAGAGGGAAACAGAAATAGGCAATGGGCATTTCCTACAAGTTTTACAGAAGAAGTGGGATTTTCCAGTGTGTTTAACAATTGACAGATTTTGCTCCTATGTTTTATATTGGGATTAAAAAGGCTTTTCCCATATGAGTTAGTTTCTAGGTCTCTAGGAACAGGAAAAAGCTTTTGCAATGTACATTAGCATGAAGAGATGGAAACCATTCATCCTGGGTGATTTTGCAATGAGCAGTCATTTGTGTTCCCCAGAGAAGGTGTTTTTGAAGGATTTGTATCCTGCTAAGGACTTGAGTCCTGAGATTCTTGAAGACGTCTCAAACACTTCACAGAATGACACTCAGTGAACAACACATGCTAAAAGAAAATGGGATAAATTCTGAAATGCCATTAGTTAAATGACTGAAACGATGCTCTGTGAAACTGAATTCATGACTCTGAATTCAGGTCAGGGAAGGAGAGTGAACTAAAATTACTTTGATGGCAGTGATGGATGACCCCCTTTTGTCAGTGGATAGAGGGCAAAAAAGCATTTCCATGTTACAGAGCCCATACCAGAACATTTGTAATGTTGACAACACAGCATTGGCTGTCATATCAGAAAAAAGTGGAAGATACAATTTGCTAAAACAGACTGAGTACCTTCTGAAGGCCCTCAACCAAAGACCAAATAGCAAATTGCATGCAGCATTCACAAGGAGTCACTAGGTGAACTACTCTCATAACAAGGATATCGGTACTGCCGACATACAAATGACATTTAACTTACTCTCTGCTTTACTTCATATGACCTTATCATTAATTTTCAGATGGCCCAATTTTTGAATGTGATCAACTAACTAATGTTTGAATGTAACCAACCAAGAACTAGAGAGCTTTGTTAAAACTATGGCAGTGAGGAAAAAAAAAGTAGTTAAAGCATTCGTGGTGAGTAGTAGTCTTTTGGCACAAGCATTACTGCCAACCAAGTCATTCTGTAATGCTTCTCAGCTAACATCTCTGCCATGACAATTTCCACAAAGTCATTTTCTGTCATCTGTGTTTCACGAGAAACTCTACTCTGCCCTTGAGAAGGATATGGCAAACTTGCTCATGCTTTTGTTGTTTCTGATCTGGATCACACACTGAGCAAAACATCCACAGGGGCCATTAACGCCTCGGAAATCATGAGCACCGGGTCAGCCCTGCTTGTGGAAGCTCACCTAACCTGCCTCGCTCAGAACCCCGGGATTCCCGCAGTACCTAGAGTCCGGCTTGTGATCTATTGCTCCTCCTGCTCTCAGCAGTGGGAATCTGCTCTGGGAGACGAGTCACACCAGGAACGAGGCGAAGCTGAGCACTGACAGAGCACAAGGGGGTGGCCAGGGCACCCCTGGGGCCGCAGGAGCGCTGCGAGCGTCGCCACTTTTCACTCCCTACCGCACAGGCCAGGCCTTCCCTGCCCCCCTCCCCTGGCACAGCCCAACACCTGGTCCCTGCCCTGCCCGCCTTCCCTCCCTCCCCACCGGGAACCCGCCTGGAAGGGGCCCTGCCGCCTGCCCTCACCTGGGAGCTCCCCGGCCCGGGACGGAGGCACCGGGCGCATTCCGCCTGCGTTACAGAAACAGGGCACCAGTTAGGCTGGAAAAGGCTTCTGGGATCATACAACCTGTGGCCCAACACTGCCATGTCAACAGGCCCATGACACGGAGTGCCACGTCTAGTCTTTCCTTAAACACCACCACCAGGTCCCTGGGCAGCCCATTCCAATATCTAACTACCCTTGCTGTGAAGAAATTCCTCCTAATGCCCAATCTAAACCTCTTCTGGCGCAGCTTGAGACTATGTCCTCTCGTGCTGTCGTTTGTTGCCTGGGAGAAGAGCCAACGCCCGCCTGGCTACACCCTCCTTTCAGGTTACCTCTCTGCCAACTCCGTGCCCTCCGGTAGTGCGGGTGGCGCCGCTCCCGCCGGCGGAGCGCGGCCGGCGCGATCCCGGAGGGACCGGGCCGGAGCTGCCCCCGCCCCGCGGCCTCGGGCCCGGCACTGCGCATGCGCGGCGCGGCCGCGGCGGCGCTTTCCGGGAAGATGTCGGCGGCGTGGAGAGCGGCGGTGGCGGCGGCCGCCCGAGCCCCGCTGCGGGGGCGGCTCGCCGGGATGCGGCCCCCGCGCAGCCAGCGCCGCCCGTCCGCATGGGGGGCCGCCGCCGCCGCCGCTGCTCTGGTCGGGGGAGGCTGCCTGGCGGCGTGTTACAGAGGGCGGCCGCGCGTGTTCCCGGCGGTGCTGGCTCAGGTAAGGCAGCAGCATCCCCGCTCCGGGCGGCGGGCAGGACTGGGCGGGCGCGCCGGGGGCCGGGGCGCGGGGGCGGCTGTCGGCGGCCCGCGGACGGGTCGGGGTCCGCGGTGGTCAGACCCCGTCGTGAGGCGGGACTGGGCTGCGGGAACCCTCCTGGCCCCGGTGGTGCGGCAGGTAATGCGCGTCCCGGCCCCCTTGGCATCACAGCGGGTCATTTAACGCGGAGCTGCCTCGCCTCAGCGGCGGGGACTCCGCCGGTGTCCGCAGCCGGAGAAGGCAGGGTTTGCCTTTTGCCTTAGCACGGAGCCTTTCCCCTCGCCCCTTGACAGCCGTGCTCGTGCTGAACGATGGACCTGTGTGCTTTGCACAGACACACGGCCTGTAGCGAGCTCCGCCTTTTGCTGGTAACTTTCAGGGGAAACTTCCACGATGCCCGGTCTGCATGTCGGGTGCTGTTAGACAGTCATGCACGGCTTTGTCTCTTGAAAAAAATACGTATAGCTATTTCACGGAAGTAGTACTTTTGTAGTTCGTACTTTGTCTGAAATGCATTACACAGACTTATTTCCTCTTATTATGTCCAAAATGTGTGCCCTGGATGCTAAAATGTGATTTGCCTTGGAGCATCAGGACACTCAGAAGGGTGTTCATGACAGATCATTATTATTTATAAAATAATCTTTGTACACTATTTCGCAACTTTCTCCTTTTCATGGAGGCAGTGAGCTTTTTCCTCTTCTTCCTCCAGATAAGAAGTTACTGTCAATTAGAGTTGGTTTGTTATTTCAAACTGGAAGATGTAAATGCTTTGTAGGCCGGAGGGTTTAGGTGTGATGGGTGAAGAGGTCAGTCCATGCTTGCAGTGCCATTCATCTACTTATATCTGAGAATTTTTGGAAGTATTGAACACTTTGTATGCTTTGATGTCTTATCTCTTAACAGTGATTAAACAGGCTGAACTACAAGCAGATAAATAGCAGCCTTTATTCTTGAAAACATTTATTTCTGAGTCAAGAACAAATAATTACTTTTTAAATTCTTTTTTTAATATTTTATCCCTCATTGTGGAAAATACGTAAACTACATCTTCTTAGAAAACTCAAATTTTATTAGATAAGCATTTTTCTAAATAGATTATATAGTAGTCCTGGTCCTTGGACCAGGACAAGTTAAAACTTTGGACAGCACATGTTAAAACTTTAATGTTCTATATCCATCTCCTAGCAAGGAAAGCATCCATTACTCAACAGATGTGCTACTGAGAATGTGTCTCCTTGTTGTTCTTACTTTTAATTATGTGAGGGTTTTAAGCAGCATTGCATTATTTTTTAAAAGTCCTGTCTTTGAGACCAATCTCATTAATACATGGAACTCTTGCTGAAGAAGATGTGTATGTAAGTATATATAAAAAGTGTTAAATGTGGGAAGTAATCACTTTTAAAGGGTGTTGAGTGAAGAGGTCTCAGTCTGGTGCTGATGTGTTCTCGTGGAATAGCTTCCATGTAATGCATGGACAGTCGTATGAGTACACTTTTAATGATTCTCAAGAGGCAGTCCAAAAGTCTAGGACTTACTCAACTAGTTTGGAGATAGTAAATTACTGGACTCTTCAAATGTTTGTTCAATTTGAACTTTTGAGTTTTCCCATAAAATGACTGTTGGAGAAGCTAATTCTCCATATATGTTGTACTCCATATTGCTGCAGGTGGTGTACTGAGCTTTTTAAAACTATCTAAGAAATTACCATGCAGAGCATAATGCTGCAAGTGGATTGTGAAAGCTATGAGCAACAGTGTTAGAGCCACACTGCAAGTCTTTTAAGCAGTTTAGATGCTACTTGTGACTTCTGATTGATAGAAAATGGCCCAAAGTGAAACAGTGTTGAAACAAGCAGTCACCTTTATTACATGTTTTGAAGCCATCTTTTTCTCAAGTCAGAGATTGTGGAATCATGAGATATGAAAATTCTTTACACATTCTCATAGTGGATAACCTTATTTTCTGTTAGTATTCCTTCTCATTGTAACTAATCTTAACCAGCCTTGCTTGAGCTTGTGCTGACGAACAGTATTGAACTGTTTGTTCCTGTTGTAGTATGCTATGTAGTGGGAATGTTGGCAGCATGGTGTGTGAAATATTACAGGTTAAGGCAAGTATTTGAAATTAAACAGTGTTATTTTCATTATCTTTGTTATAAAGGAATATGTAGTGGAAATGTTTATAATTCTGTATCATCAGCAAGGCTTACTGGTTGTTCTTGGGAATGCAGTGGGATTATGGTACAGTGCTTCCCAATTTTCCTTGGTAATATAGTCTTGTCTGTTTAATTGCTGCAAAATTGGTCATAATTATTTAAAATATTTGACAAAATAAAGCTGACAAAGTGACAAGGTGTGTCCATGCTGTAAAGAACCAAAATAATAAGATTTTATGCTTTTCAGCAGCATTACATTATGTTTAAAAAGTTCTGTTGTTAAGACCAATTTCATGTCTGTGTGTGACTCTGGTGTAAGCATAATTTGAGCCACTGAGTAATTTTCATTCTTGTCCTAAGTTACCATTAGTAACTTCTTTGCACAAAGACTTCATTGGAAATACTTCCTGTCTGTTTAGGTTGAGTAGTTGAAGTTGATAACTCTATTTGGATTTTCTGTTTTTCTTACTGAAACTAATCTCTGTCAAGGTAGTCGGACGTTTTTCAGTTTTTCCTTATTCCAGGAAATTTCAGACATACAATTTCTAGTGAAGCTGGCAAACAGCATGCCAAAGGTAATCTTCTGTATATTTAGTACTTACTCTTTTTTTTTTTTATTTCTTTCTTCTAAAGCTTTTGAATATCCTAAAATCAAAGACTGATACCTTTGGCACCTAGTTTCTCAAATCTATTTTTAATTCCTGTCCTTTCTTCCTGCTGGAATGGGTTTAATCCTGCTCATATTGGTTAGGGGCACTTCTGACTTCTGCTCAAATTAAGTGAAATCCAGCCTAACACAGCATAATGCTGTATAAGTCTTTGCAGAATCAAAGGTCTTTCAGGGTCAGATAATCTGTTTTTCTTTTGTGAGTTGTATGGATAGTTTTTGTTTTATTTTGTAGTGATGTGTCTCTGGTTACTGTATTTTAGTAGAATTGTTTATTCTGACAATGATTTTTCAGTTCAGGGCTTTTTTTTTTAATTTTGGCCCAGGTTTTTTGTCAATATTTTCACTAACACTTTTTCTTACAATGTACATTAAGTGGTTAACATTCCAGTAATAAAATGTTCTATATTTAATGTAATATACCTCAGATAATCTTAATCTTTCATGATTTATGAAGTTGTTTTCATTCTCTATCTTCATTTGCTGACCTACTGTTTACAAACATATAACTAATAATATGTTGGAGTAAGTCCGTAGTGTTGATTGTAAAACTCTACAAAGATTATTATAGTAAAATGAGCACAGTATTTTTGAAACTTTTTCTTTATAAGTAACAGGTGTCGGTTCCATCTACACTTGATATTTACCTGTGAAGCTACAGTGACAATACCCAAACCAGAAAATAGCCTTTGTTAGAAAAAAACTAGATCAATTTAAATTTTTTAATAAAATTAGCTAATTGGCTTGTATTAAGAGGAGAAAAAAATAAGGGTGGGGGAAATGGCTTTTGTTCTACCAGTGTACCTCAGAACGGAGATTTATGTTGAATTCACTGAAAGTGTTCCTTCTAGTATCCTAACCAACACAGCCAGGTCAAAAACATTCACACTGCTCTGCACACTCCATTGATATTATACAGGCTGTTTTTCTTTTTTAGTAGTGGAATGGCACAATGGTATGTGGTTTGTAACCATGATCAGACTTGGAGTATTGTCTCTTGTGCCCTTTTTCTCTCAGGGCATGCAGGTTGCAATACTAACATGGCCCACTCCAGCTAAATTTGGAACCTTCGAATGGGCTGCAGGCTTGATCTTGGACACACACAAACTGCAAATGATAAGAAAATTCTGAGAAGCAGCAGGCTGCCAGAGGCAGTATATCCTGCCCCTGCTGAGTTTTTTATGGCCATGTTTAGGTCACTAGCTTCAGAAAGAATAAAATTTGATTTGCCCTTGCAAAGTTGTGATCCCTGCAGCGTGTCACAATTGGCACTGAGTCTAAGTCACTGTTTTTTAAATGACACTAGCTAGAATTGTTACTAGCACATATGCGAAGCTTTATGTGTGCACAGTCTTGCCTGCTGATAAACATTACCATGTTTCAGCTCTCTGGTTTTTAGGGAGCATTAGCTAGTACCTCAGTTAAGCTGTATGAAATATTTAAGTGAAGTGGAAATCATAACTAACAGAAATTTTTTGGGTCTGTTCCTGTTAATACTTTCTATTACATGGTCATAGTCTAATTGATTCTGTTTATCTTACTTTTTCTGCTACTGCTGTCTTGCATCAGCAATCTTTTTCAGTTATTCCAGATCAGAGGAGACTCAATTTGTCTCTTGGAGGTCTTAAATACTTATATTGTTTTTGATCATACTGAAAATATTAAGATAGTGCTTATAGCAGTTAACAAACAATTTGTGATAATTTGTAAAATATTTGAAGTGTCCGAAAATCTAATTTTATTTGAAATGCATTTGTTGAAGCAATTGTATTTTGGACTGCAATAATTTTATTTTCTCAGTTTAAACTGCATTGAATGTTTTGTAATTTTTTGAGTGTCAATGATTCTTAGGAGAAGCAAAGATGGGAGTGGTAACTTTGTATGTCGCACTACCCACATGCTACATGGGAGTGGTGACTCCCATGTCACACACATGGGAGTGACAACTTCTATGTCACGATATGAAAACTGTTATTCTGAGCAACTGAGGGTAGAAAACTTTGAGTGATTAAAACTAGAGCTTAGATTTGTTTACCAGGTCTATATGTGTACCCAGCATGAAAATTTATTTTGGAGCTGTTGCCTTACACCTTTTAAAGAAATCAGAATACTGTAAAAGATTCTCCAAATACTAGC